TTTTTGAGGCTAAAAACAAAAACAAAACAAGAAAAGAAATAATATATAAAGACGAAAAAGAAAACTACTTCAAAAATAGAAAATAGAATTAAAATTTCTATATATAGATATTGTACACGTATGTGTATATATATATATATGCATGTATATGCTCGCTAAATTAAGACAAAAATGATAATTTTCAACAGTACAATTCCGTCATAAATTGAATATGAAAACCAAAGTAAACGAAATTTATTTTACATTTAAGGGTGCAGGCAGATATGCAATTTTTATATTTCTTTGGAAAATATGGAAAAATGTGCAAAGAAATTCAATTTTGAAAAACTTCAGTAGCATTAAAGAACCTTAATTTTGAAGATATTTTTGTATTAAAAATTTTAAATATGATTAGAAAACTGATAATTTTAAAGATAAATCTACACTTTTGGCAGCGCTGGTATTAAAAACGATCTAGATTATGATTTATGATAGTTTTTTTTTTGTTTTTTTTTTCAATTTCTTTTTAAAATCAATCTCTTGTTGAAAAATTTTACTCTATAATTTAGGAATTTATAACACTCCTCCAGTTTGGAAGACTAAAGGTTGGCTGCGTTAAAATTTACATTTTTTATTTTTTTAAATAAATTTTTCAAATGGAATTTACCAAGGAATGTTTTAAAAATTTAAATTTTAATTTAAAAAAATGATGAATCAGTAGAGCTAGAAATATGAATAAATTTCCGGCACCCCTTCTATTTGAACTCTTTATAAATTTGAAATTTATTTTCGATTTACTCTCTGTGTTTAAATGAATATGGCATTAATTTTATTATCAGCAGCGTTACCATATTGATTTCATAGAAAATATAGAAAATTTCGCCAAAAAATCGAAAAAATCTGGTAACATTTTTGTTGATTTTGATTTTCTTTCTTTTGATAAAAAAATAAATTATTTTGTTGGTTAATTATTTTTAAAATGAAGCTTACTTGAATTTTATAACCAATTCTCCATTTCATTGCTAGCTATCAGCATAAAATTGCATTTAAAATGAAGCTTAACTTTAATGTCCATAATAAAATCAAACTTACTTCACAAACGATATCAAAATAAGTATTCGGTTAGTGAAGTAGACAGCCGCTGTCTATCGACATTCATAATAATATGATTATTATCCAGCTTCAGCATCACCTAGGTGTCAATTCAATGAAAATAAATTTTTTGATTTATTGATTTTTGACATATTGGATTAACGTTTGACTAATTCACAATGAAATTCTTGTGCCATATAATAATGGAAGCTAATTCTAGATAATACACAGTGAAATTCTTGCAAGGTTAAAAAAGTCTAACTTTTTGGATAAGAAGTTTGGTCATTCGACAGACCTTTAAAAAATCTGGAAAATCAGATAAATCTGGCAATATGGAAATTTTTTAAAATGCTCTAATCTCTTTGATATTCTTATAATTTCATAATAAATATAACATTACTCTTATATTAGACACTAATAAATTTTATTTACATATTGTTTTTATCCTTCTTATTTGAAGTATATCTGCTAATTATTTCATCCCGATGTAAAAATTGAGAAAATTTAATATTTTCAGTATAATATTGAGAAATGAAAAGAGTACACTGTAGGGTATTTGATTCTTTTTCTATTTCTTTTAAAAAAATAATCTCTGTTTTTTTTCATAAAGTTTTTTTTTATCATTTTTTGTTATCTCGTTTTTTATACCCTGTGCTTTCGTGAAGGGTATATTCACTTTGCTATAGAGTTTGTAACCACTATGAAGGAGTCGTCTCCGGTGTGGACATATATATATATATATTCTTGCTTAGCGTAAAATTCAGCGATTATTTAGACATGTCCGTCCGTTCGATCGCACGATAACTCAAAAACGAATAATGCAATCGACACCAAACTTTCACAAGTTGTTTTTTTTTCTGCTGCTATTTTAATAATATTAATTTTGTAAGAGTGTGTCCGATAACGTTCTACATGTATGCTAAAAATTTTAATCAAATGGCTGCACTGATTCGGGAGCTGCCATACAACTCCAAAAGCTAATTTTAAATATTTGAAAAAATAAAGTTCAATTCTAAAACTTTTCACTAGTGTGTCCAATTATAGGTCTCATATATCCCTTAAGTTTTAGTGGAATGAGTTATAAAATGGTTTTAGTGGAATGAGTTATATACCGCGATAAAACTTCAAAAGCAAATTTTGAAAACTTGAAAAAAAATTAGATTTATGAAACTTGGCAGTCATGTGTCCAATTAGCCAGACATATCCGTGAAATTTATATAGAATAGTTTGACAGTTTCGAATAATTGTCATATAACAACGAAAGCTAATTCTAGATATTTCATAGTTTAATTTAATAGTAAAGTACTTCTATTCTAGACTCTTGTACAATTAAAAATGTAATACAGGTAATAGCATACCGGTAAAAATGTAAAATGAGTAAAAGACAATATTTTTTAATTTTTTTTTTGTCTTCTCTCTCTCTGCTTCAATATTTTATTTTTGTATTTTACGTAAATGTTTTATTTTTGTAGTTTACGTTGTAAGCGTTTACGTCCATTTTGGTTTTTTTTAGTAGATATTTAGATGCGAATATACAACATAAAATTTCAAACAGAGATAAAAATTAAAAACTTCTGTTTAAATTAAGAGTCTGATCTTGTATCTCGGTATTTTACTCCCGAAGTGAGTAACTATCATTATTTGTATAATGTAATTTTCGAGTTAGAAGAATTATTCCATATCCCGTTTTTTTCTAAAATGTCCATGTACAAAATTTGCGAAAATCCAATTGACAAAATAAATAGTCTTATTGGAAAAATGCAATATGCATTAAAAAATGGATAATTTTGGTTTCAAAGTGAGATGAAAAAGTGGGATACGCGATTAGGCTGTAAATTACGGTAAAATTATTTTTTAAGTTGAAAACAGTGAGTGATGAGAATAAGACTTCGTCATATTTTTCCAATAAAAATACGTAATACCAGCAATGTAACATGATGCAAGTTGTAAACCAAAAATTTTTGATAATTAGCTCTATCATAATTTTGATATTAGCTCTATCTCGTAAAATCCTACGAATTGCGAACATAACTGCGAAGTAGATATTTTAATGATCACAAATTCCTTTCGTAGAGATTATGAATCACCAATGGCAGTACTATTTTTCGGAGCGTCAAAATCAGTATTTTATTTCAACTATTAAATGTTTATTTATATTTTGGTTCCTATTTTAGTAAACAACTTTCATAAAAAATAATATTTTTTAAAAAAATATCCTTTTGTATGAAAGTTTTGCTGTTGTTTTGGTTTTTGAATATTTTTCAAAAGTGGAAAAACAAATTTTTTTGGCAATACGAATTCATTTTCTTTCATGTAGTAACTCATTTCCTTTCTTAGAGTAACTCAAACTCTTTAAATTGCTTATTACGAGTGATCATTTCTTTCGTAGACTTTTGAGGGTAATATTTGCTACCAATGTAATTTATGATTACTTCATTACAAATGTCCGTAAAATTTTAGTAATTCGTAATAGATAATATGTTATTCATAATTTTCCGAATTTCAGAGCTACGAACGAATTTCATGATAGGTGTGACATTCAGCCCTGATCCAAGTAATAAAGCTTACGTTTTTCGCAAAGAAACAAGACTGTTTTATATGCATACTGTTGTGCTATGCAGGCATAAGTTTGAAGACATGTAGATTTAAAAAAATTGTAAAAATAATTTCGAAAAACCAAGAAAATTTTGAAAATTAAATTCGTTTTTTTGCGGAAAATAAAAAAAAACAAAATTTTACACAAAACTTTGTGATTTGTCATAAGCCGCGCGTGATTAAAAATAAATTTCAATTTTGTATAACGTTATCCTATGTGTGCGAATAAAGATGCCGTAACTGACTATGGGACAGACTATGACTTTAAGTTGCCGTATTAGCATATCAATTTATGCAAAATTTCAGTACTTTGTTTTTCAAAATACTGTGTGTGCCAAACTACTATTGAAGTTGTATGGCAGCTACCAGAAGGAACCAAGTAATTTCAACGACTTTTATCAGACACATCAACCCAACTAATACATTCGTTCTTGTGAAATTTTAATACCATAGCTTTTTTAGTTTCTGAGATATAGACAAATAACTATTAAAATTGTATGGCAGGTACCAGAAGGAGCCAAGTGATTTCAACAAATTTTATGAAACACATTGGCCCTACTAATATATTCGTTTGTGTGAAATTTTAATACCACAGCTTTTATAGTTTCTGAGATATAGCCAAATAAATTTTAAAGTTGTATGGCAGCTACCCGAACCGGTACCCCGATCATGTCCAATTTAAATAGGGTTCTGGCACTTATTATAATAAATCATTTCTGAAAATTTGGTGAACTTAGCTCAATGAGTTTCTGAGTTATCGTTGGGACGGACGGGCGGACTCAGAATTTGACGCTGATCAAAAACATACACTTGAGTCTATATCTAAGATCGTTATTTCTTAGCGTTACAAACGGTAACGCAAATTTAGTATACCCTTCGAACATACGTTCGTACGGGTATAAAAATAAGAAAAAAAGTGTTAAAACACTACACGGTTTAAATGCGCATTTGCCTAATTTGTTGTACTTTGAAAGGAATAAAATATAAAGAAAATATTTTGTCTTTAATTATTTTACAAATTTAACAAAGACTGTGGGAAATCAACATTATAGTAGGTCAAAATTTTTAACTTTTGTTCACTTGATAGAAATGAATTCCGACTCTTATTGAAAGCTCACCTTAACACACAAAACACTCCCCTATCCGTCTTCTTTTTGATGAGTACGGTACTTTAAATGCCTGGCTAGTAAAATTACACTTATATTTTTAGATTTTGATTTTTTGTATCTGATAAAACTTACTATTTTTTTTTTAATCAAGTTGAAAACTATGATTTTCATAAAATAGAAAACAAATCTAAAAAAATTTTTATTATTATTTCTTTTTTTTAACAGTTAAGACTGTATCGGATGAAAATAGTCGAACTGCTAATAATAATAACAATAACACTCAAAAGATAATATTGTCCTGTACTAATGTACAACAGCCAGAACAACAGCAAAGCAAAAGTGTGCCGCAACAAGATTCAAATAAATTAACAACATATTCGGCACCAATTCAACATCAACAACAATACATCAATCAACCATCGGTTTCGGTATCAAGCACATCATCTTTGTCGTCATCACCATCGTCGTCGTCTTCTCCAATAACATCCATTCCTGTTCAAGTAAATAATAATAGTATTATTACACAGCAACAACAACAACATCAGCAACAGTATCAACAACAGCAGTTACCTGTTCAACAACAACAACAACAACAGCAGCAACATCATCAAACAGTATCTGTTTCTCAAAATCAAATACAACCCCAGCAGCAACATCAACAGCAACATCAACAATATCAACAAAAGGATAATAAATTAAGTGGTGTTAATCATAATAATCAGCAAAATCAAGGGAATACCAATAAATTTATGAACACGGTTGGATCTTCAAATGCATTATCATCGCAACAAAAATCACAATCTACTAGGCAACAACAACACCACCAACAACAACAACATCAGCAACAACAGCATCAACAACAACAACAATTGAACCGTAATAGTGAACTTGTTAAACAGCAACAACAACATCAATCAACAAATCGGTCTAATAACAACAATAGTAGTAATAATTCATTTACAACAACAGATTTATCAAGCAATAGTACAGTAAACAATATTAGTAATAATGCAATTTCTACTGATTTAACGCAGCAACAGCAGCAACGTGCTGTTTCATTAAATACAACTGTTGCACAATCAACTCAACAATTAGGTCCAGCAACGGTCGCGACAACAACTAAATCGCAAAATAACTATAAAACAAATATTGAAAGTAAAAATTTAAGTGGTTCTAATAATAATAACAATAATACGAATCTTAATGATAATAATTTATTGGTACATTCAACAACAGGACAAACACAATCGCAACATCGTATACAACAACACCAACAACAGCAACATTGTATAGGTAATAATAAATTAGTTATAGATAAACCACAACCACTAATGTCGTCATCATCTTCTTTTTCTTCATTAATAACAGGAGGAACATCTACAGCACCGATATCAACACCAACATCATCGTCATCTTCATCACAAACGATAACAATGGCTTCAACAATAGTCCAACCAATCAATTCTAATACAGCATCTTCAACAGCAAATACAATTAAAGATAACAATAATGTTAATACTAACACGACGAATAGTAATAGCACGTCAAAAATTAATAATTTTTCAAAAGATGAAACTGATCGTTCAATAAAATTAGAAAATGTTGACATCATTAACAATAATAATGAAAGTAAAATTCACTCAACATTGACATCACCATCGTCAAGTGAAGATAAATTAAATCAAAATATTGGTAATTTTAAAACGAAATCATTGAGTAATGATAATTTTTCAACAACAACAGCAACTTCAGCTGGCGTTGATACTTCAAACATTTTGTCAGCAAATACAGCAATAACAACAACATCGTCAACAAATACAACAAGTAATATCGGAAATAACTCAATAAATAATAGCAATAATAATAATACTAGTACTAATAATGTCAACAATAATAATAATAATAGTAATAATAATAATAACAATACTAATAATAATAAAAGAAATATTGTTAATAGCGCTAATACTAAAAAATTAGATTGTGATATTAATATGTCGAATGGTACAGCAAATAGTTCGCAAACAGAATCTTCTCAAATTACACCTAATACGGGATCAGGATCATCGATAACAAATAATTCTAAAAATGATAGTGATGCGGTAACATCAACTGATGAATCTAATCATTCTATAGGTACTCAATCTAATTTATTAAATAATAAATCAAAAGATGGTGAAAATGTTAATAATAGTAGCATAGCAATTACAAAATCAAATTCAGCTTCAGCAGCTACTCCATCTTTAATTAATAGCAATAATACAGGTGTTAATTTTCAATCATCGACAACATCATCATCTGTTAGCTCGTTAATATCATATAATGATGGACAATGGTCACCTCAGAATCGTGATGGTAATAAAGTTTATAACCGTAGTCAATTATTATCACTACGTCATGTACCATTATCAAATGTTAAACCTCCAGTAACTAGTAAAGTAGCCCAAATGATATCAACGAGTGCACGTCCACCACAACCAAATTTAATGCCAATGTTTGCACGTACTTCTAATAATAAACGTAATCAATCTATGGGTAATCCAATGCCATCTGGTTCATCTAGTTCATTAGGTGCTAATACATTTTCGAAAAATCATTCAACGTCTATAGTCAATCCAAAAAACAATTTTAAAGGTAGTAAAAGTGGTGAAATACATGTAAGTTTATCGTTACGGGAAGATGTTAAATTAAATGAAACTGAAAATGCATGGCGTCCATCGCATTTAATAAGTGACATGACAGCTGATGAACGTAATAAAGAGGAGTTAAAACGTAAAGTACGTGGTATATTGAATAAATTAACACCAGAAAAATTTGATCCTTTAGTTGCTCAAATAATTGAACTACAAATTGATACTGTTGAACAAGTAAATGATGTAATGGTATTAGTATTTGAAAAAGCGATTGACGAACCAAATTTTTCACAAGAATATGCAAAATTATGTGCTCGTTTAGCTAAAGACTTGAATATTGCAACTGATAAACAGGCATCGACAAAAAATTTAGCAATATTTCGTAATACCTTGTTAGATAAAACTGAACGTGAATTTACAGAAAATGTTACTAATCAAGAATCAAAAGAACGTCGTTTACGTCCAATTAAAGAAAAATTAAAAGAATGTCAAGATCCAGAAAAGAAATTAGAATTGCAAGTTCAATTAGAAGAGGAAGAACGTAAAATTCGTAGACGTAGCGGTGGCACCGTACGTTTTATTGGTGAATTATTTAAATTATCAATGTTAACTGGTAATATAATGAGATCTTGTATAACTCAATTATTGGATCCATCATCTGAAGATAAACTAGAATGTTTATGTAAATTATTAACAACTGTGGGTCAAAAATATGAAACATGTCATGATGCAAGATCAAAAAATAAAGTTTTGTCTTTAGATAATGTTGTTGAGAAAATGCAAAATATTGTTGATCGTAAAGAAGGTACTAAAATAAGTAGTAGAATACGTTTTATGCTTCAAGATGTTATTGATTTACGTAAAAATCGTTGGATATCAACACGTACAGATACACCAAAAACAATGGATCAAATTCAAAAGGAAGCTAAGAATGAACAAATTTCAAATCAGTATATGAATTATAGTAATTCAATTCTTGGTAGTAGTGGTAATGCTGGTAATAGTGGCTCTGGTAATAATAATACTGGCAATAATAAAAAAGATAATGATTCTGTCGGCAGACGTGGTGGTAATACATTTGGTAGTGGTTCTGTTAGTGGTTATGGTTCCGGATCTGGTGTTAGTTCACAAATGTCGTATGGTGGTAATAGCGGTAGTGGTAATCGTGGTGGTAATAATGATTATTATAATAAAAATCGCAATAGTAATAACCAACAACAAGATGGCGATGCATGGTTTACTCAAACATCAAAAGGTAAAGCTGTCGATGCGAATAAATTAGGACAAATGTCAAATGTAAGCTTTATTTATTTTTTGTTTTCTCTTATTGTTTAATTCAAACTCATTTGTTTTTTAAATTTTATGCCTATAAAAAAAATCATTTAATGTAAAATGGGTGTTATTTGAAAATTCGTATCGAATTCTGAATTTTAATATTAAATTATTATTGTCTTATTATACAAATTTGTATCTTATTATACAAATGCCACCAAGTTATTTAATTTTGAAACTAAGGTAATTTCATTAAATTGGTTTCTTCGAAATTTTTCTCGGTTCGATCACTCTGTTTTGTAAAATATGAATATATCAATGTTATATTTATCATAAAAAATCTTATTTTGAAACGAATTTTCAAGTGTAAATCGCTTTTCATCTCATTTTCTTTCTTAAATATTTATTCCTAATTTTTTTTAATTAATTTTGGTTTACATTTAAAAATTTAAATTTATTCATAACGTAATTTTTTATTTGATTATAATTGTAAAAAAAAATAGCTAAATTATGATGATACTGGTGATACAAAATTGGGTGCATACACACAATTCATGTGGAACAATAGACCAGCATCAACATCAAATTCGTTTGCTGCTTTATCTGGTTTAGATTCAAATAAGAATAGTAATAGTGGACCACGGAGTAAAGGTTCATTCAATAAAAGTTCAATGGAAAGAGATCGTTATGGTAAATATGAAAAAAATTCTTTTTTCTTTCCTTCTAATTTTAAATTCCTTTTTTGTTTTTAGGTTCAACTCATGGATCTAGAGAATCTTCATCATCTAGAAATCAATCAAATAATCGTAATGATATGAATGACAGATTGAGAGGTGATCGTGATATAAGAGATAGAAACGATCGTAGCGATCGTTCAGCATCAGGTATAGCCATGCAGAAAACGTCTAGTCAACAAAATTATAATTTATCAAGCACATCGGTATCTTCGAATTCATCATCTAGACCTTCGTCAAAGGTTTGTTTTTTATATTTTAAATTTTAAAACTTAGGAATATTTTAAATGAATTTCATATTTTTCTTTCCAGGTAATTGCAACGAATATTCAAGGTAACACTGTTCAGACACAAGCAACTCAACAACAGCAATTTGATCCAGTTGAAGATTGTCCAAATTCATTTTTGGCAGCGCTAAAACAAATTGTTGATATAAAATTAGAAGATGAAGAAATGGATTTAATTGATCCAATTGTATTAAATTTTCCTGAAACAAAACGTTGGGGTTTTTTTTATTATATATTATATAATTATTTACATATGGGTCAAGTGAAATGTTTACATAGGAAACATTTAGCACATATTACAGAATATCTGTTAAAGAAGAATATAACTACTTTAGAGGATATTAAAAAAGGCATGTTAGAATTTAGTCCATTTGCAGCTGATGTTCGTATTGATGTTCCTGATGCATGGCAATATATTTTTGAATATTTTGGTAAATGATTATTGTTAATAATAATATTGCATAATTTGTATTTATTATTGCATACATATTTATGTTTATAGGACCTTTGATACATAAGAAAATTCTAAATATAAATGATATATGGAATGATACCTTAAAAGAAACAGATCAAGGTACAAAATTCCTTAAGCATTTTATTTTGTATTGCACCAAAGAAATTGGACCGAATTATATGCAGCAATTATGGAGGGCCCAAAATTTAAAATGGACAGATTTTATTAATGAAAGTGATGTTAAAAAATTCATTGAAGAAAATGTACGTGTTGCAATATTATAATTTAATATTTTATTTTATTCAATTAATTAATGATAATTATTCCAACTATTCCATTTTTTATAAATCTTTTATATCTTTTTTTTTAGAAATTTCAATTCATTGAATCAAATATTCGATATGAAGTTACTAGAGAAGAAGATATTAATAAGGTTTTGGGTCGTGTTAGAGAATTATTGAAGGAAAACACAAGTTATGATGAAATAATTGATTATTTATCGGTAATAAACTTTATTTAGTTATATTTTTAGTAGACCTCTTGCTTATATATATGTATATATATATGTAAATTTATTTTTAGGCAAATATAAATATAATCACTCCTAATAAAGAATTTATACGTGGTTTGACAACGGAATTAATAAATTACAGTATATCAACTGTGAAAAATACTTATAAATTAGATAAGCAACGTTTTAAAGATGTATGTTCCCGACTTTTGGAGCGTTATATTGATTCAAAAGCTGCAAATGAAATGGAATGTTTATATGCTGTACAATTAATAGGGCATCACTTAGAGCATCCACCAGGTATAAATAATATGAGATAATTCCGTATTTTGTTTTTTTTATATAGTCATTGAAACTCTTGGATATTGCCAAGTTTTTTCTTCAAGTACAATAAAAAAATTAAAATACGAATTTTAAATTTACTTTTAGTTCTTTTAAATAGAGTTTTTTTGAAGAAGAAAATTATCAATTCCTTTCTTTTTTTTCACAAGAAAAAAAAGAAAGGAATTGATAATTTTTAATTTTTATAATAATAAATAATATTGCAATATTTGATAATTTATATTTTTTTCTTTAAAATTAAAACAGGGCTTCTTTATGACATATTCTGTCAATTATATGATTTAGATATAATTAATCAAGATTCCTTTCATTGTTGGTTGAACTCAGACAAAGAACAAGCTGGAAAAGGTAACATTAATTTTACTTAAATATATATTAGCATAAATGAAGTAATATATAGATAGTGCACGTAAAACAAAAATTTTCAAAGCATGTTTTCTATTGCATAAGACCCCTTAAACCAGTTATGTCAAACATGCGGCCTGCAGTTCTTGATCCCGCGGCCGTAACGATTTTTGAAAATTTTGAAATTTAATTCTTATAATTTTCTTACAAATATTGATTTAGATCAATTTTGAAAAGTGGAAAGCGACTTATATAAATCATATACTTATATATTTGAACCAGTTTTATTTTCTTATATTTGTGAACAGTAAGTTAAGTAACGTAAATTCGAAGTTTTCCGAATATTCTAACTAGAAAAAATTATTTAAAACCGAATTTGATTTTTAGATTTTGATAGAGATTTCAAAATGTATTTAACCTATTTACTTTTCCATTTTCTATTGATATTGAAACACTCGACTCACATTAACAATTTAAATCGACATTCTGTGCGATTTTGTTTTAAAATAAAAATTTAGAGAAGTGGAAATTACTAAATTTTATAATTATTTACCTATAAATCAATTAAGCGTGTTTTTTTCATGTTCGGAAGCACATATTTCTGTGAACAATTATTTTCGATATTAAAAAATAGTAAAACAGCTGAAAGATCAAGGTTAACAGATCAACATGTTCAACTGCTTTTATATTTTTTTTGTATGACTATAAACTGTATGTTCTATTTTTTGTTATGGTGCGGCACGAATCAACGTGGGCTAACCCTAAAATGGCCCCTGATGATAAATTTGGTACCTGCCTTAAACAAAAAACCAGAACCTAAGATTAAAAGCTATTTCTTTCAGCAGCCTTTTTCCTTTAATGATTTGTATAGTTCTTTAACTCTTTTCAAGAGTTTGTATGTTTGTTTATTGTGACAAAATTTTTTAACAACGGTGCGTATAATGATGCCATTCCACACATAGTTACGCACGCGTATATTGTAATTCCATACACAGATAATATATATGGCATTGGTAAGAAATATAAAATCGTACATCAGATGAAATCAGAAAATCGTAGAACAGATTTTTTTTGTGTCTCTTTTATTCTTATTCCTGTTTATATTTTTTATTTTTGTTTTATTCGCTTAACTTTTTATATTTTTATTTTAATTGATATTATTTTTTATAAACTTTTTTAACATATTTTTTGTTTTTGTTTTATTTTTAGGTGTTGCCGTTAAAGCACTTACTTCATTCTTTAGTGATGTTATAAATAATGAAACTAGCGATGAAAATAATTAGCAGAAATTTTTACTAACTTATTTTTTTTTTTAAAAAGCGTATGAAATTTTGATTGAAAAATTTATTTAAGAAATTAAAAATTTAAATTTTATATATGTGTGTATACGTATATTTATATATATATATGCATGCATATTCATACATTTCATATATATATATATACATACATACATATGTATATGCATATATATTTATGTACACATTTATATTTATTATTTAAAGGTATGAAAAAGAAAAATTATAAATAATAAAAAAGAAAAATTATCAATAATAAAAAAAAATCATTTCGATTCCAATGATAATGATGAAACTATATATATATATAGAAACTATATATATATATATATATATATATATGGTATATATATTTATATGTATATTTATATATATAATATTAAAATGCGCCAAAATATTTATAATTCATGATTCAAATTTCAAATATTCGAATCTATTTGATTTTAAATGGTTTTTTCTTTCGATTTGTAAAAATATTTTGTACGAATTTTGTAATTACATTCATTCCTCGCTATTATGTTCCGGAAATGTTGTCCGCAAATCGAAATTCCGTAAATCGAATCTTTTTACTCACATTACTCTATTATCACATAATTTTTTACCTATACTCATATAGGTACATATATTTCTTGTTAATTTGCAAAAGATATAGTAGAATTTTATTATTATTAAAACATTTGACAACAAGAACCAATTACATACATAAATTCTTCATATTATTTTGCTCGGATCTCTGTTTCATATAAAACATTAGATTATATATACATACATAACCGCAATGGTTTTTATGTATTTACATAATATTAAACATGTATGTATATTTAAACAAAAAATTACATTTTAAAAAAAAATGTAGTTTAAAATTTAAACTACAATTTTTTTTTGCATTTTAAAAGCTTTCCGTAAAAAGAGACTTTGGTTTAATTTTTTGAATTCCGTATAACGAGCTTCCATTAAGCGAGGACTCTTGATTTTAATATATTTGAAATGATTTTCAAAATTTCAAGAAGCGAAACAAAAATGACATTTTTTGTTAAAAAAAAAACAAAAAAAAAATATATATGAATTATTTTCCTTTATAATTGAAAACCTGAAAAAAAAAATTTTTGAGTGCAAAATGTTTTTTCTCAGTGTATCTTTTATAATGGCAACGATCATTCAAAATTGCAGTCAATAAAATTTAAATTGTTTGTTTTGTGTGAAACAATTTATTCGATGTTACATAAAAATTTGTGCCAAATATTTGATACATTGGAAAAAAGGTTGGTTTGTAAACCTTTTTCATTGTTATTATTTTTATTTTTTTTAATTGAATCGTGATTTATATGGCAATTATGTATATATATATATATATATATATATATATATATATATATATATTATTTTTTATGTATATAGGAATATAATATTATTTCTATTATTATTATAATTATTAATTACTATTACGATTGTATAAAATATTTGGATTATAAAATAAAATGAAAAACATTTGATGGATTATTCATAGTAGGAAAAAAGTCCTTATTAGTTTTTTCCCTTTTTTTTAATTTTTAAAAAAATATTTTTTATGTATTTAAATATTATTGCAAAAGAAAACAAACGTAAAAAAACACTAAAAAATAAGTTCAGATTTTTGGTTTATATCAATTTAACGTTGTATAAAAGATATAGATACCTTCTGTTTTTTAAAAAATATATATATATATTTTTTATATTATATATATGTTTTGAATATATATTTTATAATTTAAAACGAGCTTTAGATAATTAAAAAATATTTAAATGAATTTTTTGTGTATGTAATGTGTCTTTATACTGAGATTGTTCGGTTTTATCTTAGTTTAATTGAAAAATATGTTATATATATAACTATTTAAAAAAATTGAAGAAAAAAGTTTGTTACCTATGTAATATGTGTTCTCTTGAATCGAGTTTTTACTGAAAATATTAAAATTTTCAGTATAGATTTTTTTGAAAAATAATTCCAATCACGTGAAATGAAATGCAACATTCAAGAGAAATTAACATGGCGGGTATATAAAGATATTTGATAAAATAAAAACACTGGTTGTTATTTTAAAATTTTTTTGGTTAGTAAAAAATTAATTAATTGCGAGATGATAAAATAGATAATTTTTTTAAAAAATCAATTTCATTTTTGAAATTATGATATAGGCTTCATATGATGTAAATTTCTTATATAAACTTATTTCTTTTTCATTATTATTTTTATTTTCTTTTTATAGAAAAAGGAAATACGTTTTTATAAATGCAGCGTGTTGTAAAAGGACATAACATTGTATTTATCATATAAATCATATATGTTTTTATCATATAAATTTAAAAAGAATGAATTTCAAATATTTTTTCAATCTCAGTATATAAATTATGTGTTGTCATAAACTTATAAATACTTGGTATTTTGATAGCACTATGATAGTTTAGGTACAATGAGATAACAGTTTTGTGTCTCGTTACGTGCCGATGGAATATACCTTTCATTTTCCTACTTGTGGAATACCACTACAAATTGTACGTAAAAAAACAGAAGGATAAATATTTTTGATCGATAAAAATGTAGTTTTTTTTTGGATCTTTTTTTTTTGTTTTCAAAAATTAATATGATCAAATAAATAATTAGTTATATATTTAAAATAAAAGAATTCAATAAATGATACATATATTTAGATATATATATAATACTTTTTTCTTTTGATTTCATTTTTTTTTTATTTCTTTCTAGTTTTTAAGAAAAAAAAAATGGTATAAAGTATGTAAAACCACAAATAAACATGAAGTTACAAAAAAATTAAAGTAAAAAAGCAAATTTGATTAAAAATTTAAGTAAAATAATAATGTAAAATTGCGAAGTTTATATGTATATATATAAACATAAATATATAAGTGTATATTTAATATATGTATACCTATGCATATATATACATATATAACAATGAAGTTATAAAAAAAAGTAAAAAGATTGTTAAGTATATAAGTAAAAAAAAAAAACAAAAAAAAACATAAAAAAATTATATATAACATTTTTTTATATAAATATTTTATATACACAACTATATTATATTGAGAGCAAATGGTATCTTAAAATTAATTTAAAAAACATATATATATAATAAAAACTTAAAAACAAAAATTATATAAATATGTATAAATATATAAAGATATATATAAATTTGAAAAAGAAAATTATATATACATTTATATATGTATACATATTAAATAAATTAGTATATACATATATATATATACATACTAATTAGTTATGTATAATATGAGAGATATGTATATATATAAAAAATAGCACATAATGTAAATTTAAAAATTAAAACAAAACAAAATAAAAAGTTAAAAAAAAAAACGTAAAATTCAAAAAATTACAAAAAAAAAACGCGAAAAAAATTATAAGTAAAATATAAATACAAAATTTGATGAAATTTGAATTGATAAATTTAAAAGAAAAAACTAAAAGAAATTAAAATTGAATAAAATAAAAAAATAAGAAAATTTAATAAAAAATCGATTAAATAAAGTAAAAAATAAAAAAAAAACGTAAAAGAAAATTGAAAACACACCATATACAAACACTGAAAAATATACAAGAGGTATATATGTATATATTCAAAAAATGCATCTATATATTTGTATAAAACAAAAAATATATAAATTCAAAAGTAGTATAAAAATTTAAAAAAAATGAAAAGAGAAAGAAAAAATTTTTTCTCTTACTAAAAATTAATTAATTAAACTTAAAAATAAATTTAAAATGCAATATTTGATTGGTAAAACAAAAAAAAATAAAGATACAAATAACAGCATAATGAAAATAACTTAAAAAAAAGGTTGAGTAAAAAATGAATTTTTTTTTTATAATTCTCCTCTGTGTTAATCGCGAAAAAATGAGTGTTTATTTTTATAAACAATGAATTATAAGACATTATAATATATATTGAGCGCTTATTGTATGCGTTTTTTTTAAATTTTGGTTTTGTTAATTTTTTTTAATTTTTATTAAAACTAAAGAATATATATCACGAATTTCTCCACAAGAAAGAGTTGGTGCATAAACAGACCTCTTTAAAAATACACACTTTTAACATATTCCAAAAAGAAAAAGTTAAAATGCCAATTGAAAAAACAAAAAAAGATGCTCTTTTGAACTTTTTTTAACAATAACATAGTCATAGGATAAAAAGTTTTTTAAAAATACTAATTTTGAAAACGAGCACATAATAATACTGAAAAAAATGAAAAAAATTTAATTAATTTGATTCACAATTAAGCGAAACCATTTTTTTGCGAATTTTTTCAAACTAAAAACATTCAGAAAAACTTATGAGCATACGTCTCTATATATATGCAAATTTTCATTTCAATTATGTATTAAATTATAATGTTATTTTATTGTAACATTATATGTTAAAATTCATCATTTATCAGTTTTTAATATAAAACGAAAATTTATTAAATATTACTTAAATTATGTATTTAAATTTTCTTTTTCTTTTTAGAAAAGTTAATATTCTATTATTTTACATATTTTGAGTAAGTTGTAAATAAAAGTTTTTTAGTTAATTTTTTTTTGTTCAGTCAGACATCCAAATATATTTTGATATTAATAAGAGTTGTGTTGAAAGTTTTGCAATGATTTAAAGATTATGAAATTGTGTATGCTCTAAAAATTTTTTTTGTTAATAAAATTTTAAAAATAAATCAAAAAAGAGAAAACAAATTTCATACTAAATTCAAAAATTAAATGATATCTTACAACACAGATTTGTTATAAATTTGATAACAATAAAAAATGTAAATGTAAATATAAAATTAAAACAAAAATAAATACAATATTAAAAAAAAGAAAGGAAAACAGAAATAGATATTAAATATCCAAAATGAAATTAATTAATAATTAATTACTAGATATTGAAAATGAAATTAATTAATAAAAAATTAAGCAAAAAAAAACAAAATATTGGTGATTTAAAACTTTTTATTTACAAAATAATAGTAATGTGTAAAATTATATAAATGATATTAATTTAAAATATTAAATAAAAATTACCCATACAACATGAATAACTTGAAATAATGGTATTTGAAATTTTTTAAATTTTCATGAACTGAAAACAAGCAATATTTCATTTCATGTGTCTTTATTAGAACATTGGTGAATATTTTTTAATCGTATTAAAGGGAAAAATGCTAAACATTTTTTTTAAAGCATTATTAAATAGGGAACTTGAAATTTGGCACAATGATTATAACAGTATTATAAATTTTAAACGTAAATAAAAAGCAGACGCAGTTGCATTCGGTATAAAAGACCCAATGCATCGACATTACAGCAAATACAATTCGGAAATTCTTGACTTATCGAACCTAAATAAACACAAATTCTTCGAACATTTTCTTCAATCCAAAAAAATTTTTTTTAGTTTGTTATTTTACAAAAAATGTTTATTTACTTATATAAATTTGTAAGTAGTAACAGGTTTTTGTGATAATTAATTTTCGTTCTTGTATTTTTTAAAAGCAAAAATTAAAATTAAAAAAAAAAAACTTGTTTTGAAATAGAAAAAGTTATTTAGAATTGCAATAATAAAAATTTAAAGAAAAAAATATTAGATTTGATCCATCTTTTAAAAGGACATTACCAAATCTCTTCTGGGGCTGTTAGTGGAAAATATCTAACAATAAATTTCATTAACTTTCATGTTGATATAATACAATATATGGTTAACGATTTTAATTAAAAATCTAGTGTCAATCAAATATGGACAGGAATTTCTTCCCAAGCCTCTGCTAATTGTGGTTACTTTTTTTTAACGTGAATTATCATCCATTTTGACATAATCAACTCTTTAAGCTAAAATATACCATTATTTTATATATCACTGATTTTAAACTTTTTTCTTTCGAATTATCGAAAAACTTATCGACTGCGCAAAATTATTTTCTGAATTAATTTTTGTTTTCCAATTACACAGTTACACTATTTTCTTTTTTTGAATAAAAAAAAAATTATTTTAAGTTGAAAAAAGTAACAAACAAATCTGAATTCATGAAAAAAAAGTTTCTTTTATTTTGTCATACACGAAATTCTGTAATACACAAAAGTTTCTATTGTTGGAACTTATAAAATAAATCGAATGAAAAATAAAATAAAGCTAAATTAAAAATGGTTTAAACAATGCAAAATACACACAGCTGCTTAAAAAATGTGTAGAAATAAAAAAGAATTATTATATTACATTGAAAAAACAAACACAATATTTATATATATATATATATATATATACATACGTTTATTAATTATAAAACTGTAATACATATTGTGTTATAAATTAATATGAAATACTAAAAAATAAAGATTTATTTGAACAAGCAAAACAAGACATTTAAATAAAAATAATTAAAAACTTAGAAAAATACAAAAAAAACACAAAAATATAATTAAATTATGTAAAACCATAATAGAAAAAATATGTGTGTATGTATATACATATATATATATAATTTTATTTATATATATATTTATATAATATAAAAATGAGAAAAGAAAAACTAATTATACAATAATTACTAAAGCTAAAAATAACTAAAGTAAAACCGAGTAAACAAATATTTAGTAAAAAAAAAGATCGATAAAGAAATCTGAAAGAAGAAGCAAAATCAAAAGTTCTCTGAAAATATCATTAAGAATTAAATAAAAAACTAAACTTTGTATTAAAATCAATAATTTTTAGTGAAAATACACAAAAAAAAATAAGAAGTATGTTTATATATATATATATATACATATATATATATAGTATATTAAATGTATAGCTAAATAAAAATAAATTGAATTAAACCAAAAATAAAAGGAAATTAGAAAATTTTAAAGAAAATCAAAAAAGATATTGTCAAGTAAAATATAATATGTACATACATATATACCAATATACATCCACACATCGCGTATAAATATACATATGATTATATATAAGTCAGATATGTATATATATATTATGTAAACAAAATATTATTTACAAGATCGGGACAGAAAAAGAAATAAATAAAAAAATATTTCGTGCACACACTCCACATACACACACACACATTATCAGAGCGAACCGTTAAAGAGAGGGAGAAAAATAAAAAAAAAAGAAAGGAAAAAAAAGGGAAAAAATAAACCTTTAATATTATAAAAATAAAAATATAATAACAATCATTAAACAAAAAAAAGAAAGAATAAAAACAGTTAAAAGAAAATTGAAATAAACATTTATTATAAAAGATTTAAAAAAAAATTGCATTTTATTCAGTTTAAGCCGGATTCATTGGTTCGTCTTTTTGAGCTGAGCTATTTAAAACCGAACTATTTTTTCTCTTGATTGTTCATTGGTTCGTCTGAATTTCTTTTTTTGTTATAGTCCATTTATTTATTTTTTGACAAGAATTGTATGTAATTGTAATAGTTCAGTACATGTAAATTTGACGTTTTAGAAAAACCCCCGCATTAAAGTTGAAGTTGATTCAACTTTTTGAGAGAGAGAAAAAGAGCTGTACTTAAAAATAAAGAGAATATTCAAAATCCAAATTTATTCAGCTCGTCGTTTAACTGACGAACCAATGAATCCAGCTTTACAGTAAAACGGTAAGTAATATCGAACTGCTTATCTTCATACATAAATCTATATTGGTTGGTGCTCAAAACCACGGCTGATAAAAAAGATCAATCATTGTCAAATTTTTCAATTCTCAAAATTTAAAATTCAATCTTTTTCTACTAAAGTTTTACTATTAAAGCATTAGAAAATTGATTTAAAAAAAGTCTTCCAGGTTCTGTTAATTTTTTTAAGTTTTCAATAAATGCTACATTCCAAAAAAAAAAACGTACAATTTTTTCGAAATGAGTTGAGTTTACTTCAAATTTGTTGAAAACGCAATTATTTCAGGGCATAAATGCAAATTTGGATGACAGAGGTTTGGAAAAATACGTACAAAATAGAAAAAACCGAAAAGTAGAGACAACATTAATAATGTATTTTAATAATAAAAAGTGGATTACCAAAAGTCAAAATTCAAGATTGTTGAACTGTTTGCAGATGACATTTTAAGATAAATTTCAAATTAACTTAATTTAAATAATTTACTTTAGTAAATCTTTAATGTCCATTTTAATGTTAAAAATCACTTTTGCAATGAAATTTTTTAAACTGCTCATATGCTAAAGCTTTTTTAAAATTTTACTTGCACCATGACTACAGAACATTCTCCAAAACAGTACTTCAAAAACGAATATTACAAATTTGTAGTTCATAAATAAAACACATACTGCATGTCAAATCTAACTAAGAACTGAAATACCCAAAAAGCCCTAAGCTTGCTAATTATGTATAATGCACATATAGGCCCTTTCCCAGTATGTCAAAGATTTGACGATCATGTCAATCACGTCAATCGCTTGATTTAGCAAATGACAATCACCTGTAATTTGAGCAATTTTCAAACAAATCACTTATGCATTAGCCTTTAAAAACATGCGAAAAAAAAACTAAAATGACAATCAATTGCGTTAGCAACATATGTTGGGATTTATGACGCTAGCGTCATGTTGCCTTGGGATTCATGACTAACGTCAGTTGCATGCATTTGACGATACTGGGAAAGGCCCATAATCACATACGTATATATCTATATATTTTTCATAAAATTCATTGCATATGTATAATCGCAAAGTAATCGATGCAGCATCGATGTGTAATCATGTAAAAATCATGTATGAAAATGCATCAATAGAGGATTTTTATTTATTCAGTTCTAGAATAGTTCTAGCTTGTAGTACGTTCGAAAATTACATACACTGAAAATATAGATCATTCGGAAATTACTGGCTGCAATAAAGTGCGTTCGAAAATTCAATCTGCAATAAAGAAAAGTTAGAAATGTAGCGCAGACTTCTAATATAAATTTTGTCGCTGCCATATGAAATTTATTTGTTTTTTTAAAATTGAAAAAAAAATTTAAATTTCAAAATTCAGATATTGAAGGGTTATTAAAGTAAGTTTTCTTTAAGCCTTTGAAATCTTGTTAAAATTTGCTTATTTTGCAGTGAATTGGAAGGCGAAAGGTATTGGATAAAATTTCATAAACAATGTCATTTTTGTTATATTTGAATAACTGATTATTTAGAAATTTCAGAATTTGTAGAATGCGTAAACAAAAAAAATTTAGCTGAAGTTTTTGTATACTGTTTAATTTTGCGACTTAGAAATTTTAGTTCTAATGTAGAACTTTCAGTGCAGCGTGTATAAACGAAAACCTTCATACTTTAAAATTTGGTGTCCAAAATGTCAAAAATACGCATCGTATGCGCATCATATTTTTGTTTTGATTTTGTATTGATGCAAAGTTTTTTAAGTGGATCTGAGAAGCAAATAATATATATTAGTTTAACTCAATAACTAACAAAGTTAATCATTTCTTTATGCAAAGTATTGATGAGCCTTATTCTAGTTGTCGAAGTAGAGCGACAATTGTCGTTACGACTTGAATTTGATATTCTAAGCGGCGATCGCAGTGACACTTGTCGGAGAATAGGGCGAAAATGTGTTTCAGTCATATTGCAGTTGTCGTTCTGATGCGAGATATGTCGTAGTAAAACGAATTTTTTTATCGAAAAGTATTTAACAAATATTTTTAAATGTATATAAAATATATAAAGATCTCCAAATCTTAATTGCAATTAAAAAAAAATTTTATTTTTTTTAGATTTTCAGTTGTTAATAATTTTAACTTTTATACAAAATAAACGCCAAAAAACATATGATTGAGAAAGTGTCCAAAAAGTCAAAATAATATTACATCAGCAAGGTTGATCTTAATTTTACATGGACGCTGCATTGATGCAATTTTTTGATTTTCGATTTTGATCCGATTATACCCTATTTTTTTTGTATTTAAAGTCCATATAATTCTTTTTAGGTATATGTGATTTTAGTTATATTAAGAAATATATTTTCACTATTTAGTCTAGTTCACTGATTTAGTGAACTACCGTACTAGGAACTTCAAAAGCTTATATAAGTTTCTTTATAATCCCCTCTATTATGAACATCGGTATCGGCCGATATATTATCGGCAGTTCTCATCGGTTTTGGGTTTCTTCTGTATTATGAACCGATACCGATAAAAATATTTCAACCGATTAAAAGAAGCTTTTTCATACAAATTTTTGTTTTTGTAAATTGGAGAAAATGTTTTTTTTTCTAATGACATTTGTTTTCTTTCAAAAGTTATTTTCAAAAAATTTTTAAAACTATTTTGAATTTGGTTTTGATGTGCTAAAAAGTTGTTGTAAGAAAATTATTTTCTGTTAAATTTGTAAAATAAAAGTATACATATATCGGGAAAATGTCACGTGCATTATATTTTGAAAGTGAAGAAACGCAAGCTATTCAAAGACGACATATAAGAGATTCAACTAATCCATTGGATTTAGACAACAAAATGTATGTTTATGTACCTATTTTATTTTATTATTTATATAATATGTACACATTTTTTAGGTTTATCCAGAATTTCAGATTATCATTCCTTGCCAGGTTTAAGTCCTCTTCCATTTTTTCTACTAACCGCGCAATTTGTTTTTTGTTGCTTACGATTTTACTCCTAAATAAAATATATGAATAACATTTTGAAAGAAAATAATTTAGAAAAAATGCTTACATTTTAAAAAAGCAATTAATTACACCAGTTTCCTTGATAAAATGAAGATTTTACAAAAAAAAAATCTGTCGTCTAAAAATTTGTACCCGCTTTTAAATTGGTGAAAACCCGACAATTTATCGTTTTCATAATACCAGCTAATACGTTTCCTATACAGGGAAAAAAAGCTTTCCCGACTCCGATAAAATTTACCGATAAACAATGTTGGTAATACAAACACAAAATTTTGCCGATAAATTATCGTTTATCGGCCGATACCGATATACATAATAGAGGGGAATATTTGTATTATATTTGTTTTTATATAGGAGATAACTTGGGACAAAAGCACTATAGTAATAATTAAAATAATAATTAAAACTTAAAATCTAATAATTACAAATGTAAATTCTAACTTAAAATTTAATAAAGTTTCCGTGACTTCAATAATGCGCTTACGACGTAAACTTTACAAAGTCTCACATTCCATAAAGTTTAGTAAGAGCTCTTGACATTGTAAACTTTTTCAAAATGCGTTCTATACGTAGTGGATACGTAAAATAAACGTAACTCCGGTATCGAAAAAATCGAGCACGCTCTTCTTATATATGTCATATAAGCGTTGCCAGAAATAACCAATTAAATAAACTAGCATTTATTTTTAGCAATAAAGTGTTAGTTATTAAGTTTTTTTCCCAAAATGCAGCATAAAAATGCCATGTTTTTAAGGATGTTGTAACGTTTGATAAAAATTAACATTTGCACAGAACTTTAAATTCAAATTTTCAAACAAACGTCAAAGTATTTATTAATATTGTAAAAATTGTATTCCAAAATGTATCAAAAGCATTAGCAGTTTTTTTACAATGTAAAGGTATTGAAAGCTCTGAGACGAAAAATCTTCTGTCAGATAGATAGCATAAAACCTTTTTTATATTTATAACCCCAATAAGTAGAGAACCCATTATTTGGAGATTGGAAAGATATTATAAAGATTACACCAGAGTTTTTGTTGGTAGCTCTGCTTTAGTAGTTTTATTGCAGTGCAATTTACTTAACAAGATCATTTGTAGTCACAAATGCAAACGCGAATTCAACCATTTAAAGTTCGCTTGGCAATGATAAGCGAACAAAAATTTCAAAAGGTATTTCCGGTAATTTGGACATGATGCAATGAAAATTGTAAATTAAATCTGAAAAGTTTTTCAAAAAAGTTGCACGGAAATTTGCAGAAACTGAATATCTTACTGTTATAGATTTGTAATATATTTACTGGAGTACTGGACTAATTCTTCAACATCCAACGTTTTTCTATTATATGCTCTCACTCTAGTTTATAGTATTTTTGTAGTAATTAAAATTTGTAGAATATTAGCGCAACTATGTCATTTTTGAACACGCTATTTTTGCAGATTTTGCAGTTTAGATTTATCGAATTTGCATAATATATTAAAGATATAAGTTAGAACTGAATTATCGAAAATTTCCAAATCATATCGGACAGGGAATTAACTGGTGCTGAACAAAATTAAACG